TTTCGTGTGGCGTAAGTTGGTAAAATTGAATGACCTAGATGTCCGGGTAAGTTCAACGTTGATGGGGAAACCAAAAGGTACCCGTACCGCTACTCCCTGGACCTTTCCTGGGTAGCGTTCTGACTAGAGTTTCGAGGCGAATCCAACAGTGTCGACGAGGGCCTCCCAGGAGGCCCAAAAAGTGGACAACGAGGTAAGGGTAGCGGTATGGGTACATCTTCCTCCTCTGAGTTGAGCGATCCCCGCTCTCAGAGGCCTGCCGAGGCTGCTGACCCTCTCTTCCCTATGCGATCCGCACCGAGGGTCGCCTTCTGTGGGCACCGGGGCCCGAAACGATCCCCCAGACGATGTTCACCCCAGAACGCGCGCGCCGCCGTCGCCGACGCGCAGAGGTTGCACGGACCTTCCGCAACCCGGGAGAAAAAGGCGTCGGGCTTATCCTTGGGCTGCTCTCCCGTAAACAACAGGTGCACCCTGCGGCACCCGTGCTGCGCAGGCTTTGGCCCCACCTTGTGGGCTGACCTGCTCGCTCCTTCCTCTTTCCTCCTCCTCGCGCTCTCTCCCTCCTTTCTCATTTCTTCTCGCCCCCCCTCCTCCTCCTCCTCCTCCTCCTCCTCCTCCTCGTCCTCCTCCTCCTCCATTCTCTCCTCCTCCTCCATTCTCTCCTCCTTATCCTCCCCACGAGGGAGGCGTCTCGAAGCTGCTGCACGCAGGCGCTTCTTCTCCGATGAAAAAGAAGACCTTCGACTGCAGAAAGGAGTGAGGAGGCGAGGAGCAGGAGGAGGAAAGGAGGGGAAGGGAGGGAGAGGAAAGGGGATCTGCGCGGACGGAGAAGCTCCACCGCTCCTCTCCCACGCCCCACCCCACCGGGTACTCGGGCACCGAGGAGTTCGCAGATGTAACCCTCGCGGCTAGGGCAGGAGGGGGCGGGGCAGCAAGGGGGCCGTGGCTGGCCAGAGCTGGGCGGCAGAGGATGGAGAGAGAGGGAGGAGAGAGAGAGAGAGAGAAAGGTATATAAATATGGAATGAGGATACATATATATACACAACAGTACATGCATACATACATGCACATATACATATACATATACATAAACATGTGCATCGAGATAGACATAGGCATGGGCAGATACCTATACATATACAAACACCTATAAATGTATATACGTTTACATGTTCAGATACATATTCATACACGTATAGTAATACATATACATATACATGGGCATATGTACATGTATATATACATATACAAATACATACATATATACGAACATATAAGCACATACATGTACATACACATGTACATATACATACACATATACATACACAGTTACATATATATATATGTACATATATATATACACATATACATATACATATACATCTACATATGCATACACACAAATATGTACATGCATATGCATATGCATATGCATATACACACGCCTAGGCACACACATGCACATAAAGTTACAAATATATATATATATATATACATATGCAAATATATGAATATAAATGTATGAATATAAATAGATAGGTGTATATATACACGTAAGCATAAATATATGCATATAACCGTATATATATACACACACCTGAACATATACATATACGTATACGTAGACATATACATAAATATGTGAATGTACATATACATATATATATATATATATATACACGTATAAATATGCATGTGCATGTATATATACATATGCAAGAACATATACATATACATATGCACCTGCATAGACATATACATATACATATGTATGCATTTGCGTATGCATATCCATATATATATATACTAGAACCACGCGCGCGCTTCGCGCGCGCTTAGGTTCTAGCTAGGATCGTCACCCAGGATACGAGTACTGGAACCCTCTTGGGATTTTTTCGGGGGCCTCGTCCGGCCGCCCGCTGGGAGTTTGTCGTGGCTTCTCGGGAGCCTCTGAACCTGTCAGGGGCCTCTTGGAAGCAGGTTCGAAGCATTCTGGGGGCCGATTTGAGGCTTCTCGGGGCCTCCTTTGGGCCTCCTCGGGGTCTCCTGGGGCCTCTTGAGGGGCCTCCTTGGGACCTCCTGGCGGTCTCTTGGGGCGGAAGGCTCGAGCTTGCGGTTCGTGGTCCCCCTCTGGGCCCCCTCTTGGGCCCGTCTTGGGGTCCTCTTGGGCCATCTTGGGCGCCTCTTGGGCCGTCTTGGGGCCCTCTTGGGCTGTCCTGGGGCCCTCTTGGAAGCTTCTTGGGCCGTCTTGGGGCGGTCTTGGGCGCCTCTTGGGCCGTCCTGTAACGTCGGAAAGCCCAAAAGGCAACTTTGTGAAAAATGTACGTTTTACGAAGGGAATGGGCCAATTTTTGCGTCTAGGGGCCCTCTTGGGACGCATGTTGGAGGCTTCTTGGGGCGTCTTGGGGGCGTCCTTGGACGTCTGGAGGCCATCTTCAGCATCTCGGAGCCCTCTTGGAGGCCTCTTGGAAGTTTCTTGGGCCGTCTTGGGCGCTTCTGGGGCCGTTTGTCTGACCGGGGAGGCCTCCGGCAAGCCCCGACGAGCCTCGGGGGCCCCCGGGGCCCACATTTGCGGTCGGGGTCCCGGCCCCGGGCCCCCGGACCCGGTCCCCCGTTATATGTATATGTGCATATACGGATACAGATACATACACATATACATATGTATATATAAATAACCATACATCTACAGATGCGCATGCAGATAAATATGCATACGCATAAACCAATACATATTCGCATACATCTGCATATACCTATATGTATGTACATATACATATATAGGCATAAAAATAGACATACACATGTGCATACTCATGTACATATATGTATATGTGTACATATGAACATACATATGCATAAACGTATATATATATATACATATAGGAATACCTATACGTATACATATGCACTGCATATACATATAGAGTTGCATAAACGTGTACATATACATATACACTTACCAGTAAATATATACACACATACATACATACATGCATACGTGCATACAAACCCTCATACATACACATGTGTATGTATACATGCACGCATACACACATGCATACATGCATACATTATGTTAAATACATGTCTACGTACATGCATGCATGCATACGTACGTACATACAGATATTCATGAGTACACATATACACAAACATACACAAATACATGCATGCATACAGACAAATACGCAGACATACCGACAGGCATACATGCATACATACATACATACATACATACGAGAGAACGCGTTTCACGGGCGCTTGCCTTGGGAACATTCGGCGGCGCGTTCGAACAAGGGAGTGGCCCCACCCCACACTCGGCGCCGTCGATCGAAACCAAGGGGAACTCCCCTCCCCCCCAAACCCCCCCCCCTCCCGAACGCCCCCCCCCCAAGGGGGGGGTTCAAACCCCCCCCCTCGGCGCCGGCGCCGGCGCCGGCGCTGGTCGACCGCCAGCAGCGAACACAACGGGGACGCAGCGACGGTGGCCAGACGCAGCCCAAGGGGGGGGCTTCAAACCCCCCCCCTTCGCGCGGGCGCCGGCGCTGGCAGCGCCCAGCAGCGCTGGCGCTGGCGCCAGCGACGGCGGGGGACGCAGCGACGATTACCACCACTACCACCACCACCACCACTACCACCACCACCACCACCACCGCCTCAACCCACCACCACCACCACCACCACCACAGCCACCACCACCACCAAAACCACCACCACAACTCACCATCACCACCACCGCTACCACCACGAAAACCCACCACCACTACCACCACCACCACCACAATTTACCACACCACCACCACCACCTTCACAACCACCACCACTACCAGCAGCACAACCCACCGCCACCGCCACAAACCACCACACCACCACCACCACCGCCACCACCACCCCACAGCACCACGTCCACAAACCACCGCCACCACCACAACCCACCACCACCACACACCACCACCACACCACCACCACCACCACAACCACCACCACAACTCACCATCACCACCACCACCACAAAACCACACCACCACCACCACCACAATCTACCACACCACCACCACCACCGCCACAACCACCACCACTACCAGCAGCACAACCCACCACCACCACCACAAACCACCACACCACCACCACCACCACCACCACCGCCACCACCACCACCACCACCACCTCCACAAACCACCGCCACAACCACAACCCACCACCACCACCACCGCAAACCACCACCACACCACCACCAAACCAACACCACCACGACCACAACCCACCACCACCACCACCACCACAAACCACCACCAAACCACCACCAAACCACCAACACCACCACACCACCACCACCACAACCACCACCACCGCCACCACCACCACCAACACAACCCACCACCACCACCACCAATCGTCCTCGTCGACGCTCCCCGCCACCGCCGCCCGCCGCCGCAGGCGCCGGCGCCGGCCCAGAAATGGAAATCGTCGTGCATGAGTGCATTCATGCATACACACATACTTACATACATGCATGCATACATACATGCGTTCACGCATGCATGCATGCATGCGTGCATACATAAATACATACATGTATGCATGTATGCATGCCAACATACATGCATACAAACATGGATGCATGCATGCACACATACACACATTCCAGCAGTTGCGGATAAAAGTGAGGGGGCGGCGGGGACGTCGGCAGTGAGCAAGGCTCTGAAGAAGCCCGCCGCAGGCGCCTAATTTTCACAAACTATACAGCGAGCCCGCCGCAGACGCCGATATTTTGGTTAAAGCAATGTTGGTGGGTCGCGGGGTGGGTCGCAGGTGTTTCGCGGGTGGGTCGCGGGTGGGTCGCGGATAGGTCGCGGGTCGGGTCGCGGGTGGGTCGCGGGTGGGTCGGGGGCGGGTCGCGGGCAGGTCGCGGACGGGTCGCGGGATGGGTCGACCGTGGGTTGCGGGTGGGTCGCGGGGTGGGTCGCGGGGTGGGTCCCGGGTGAGTCGCGGGTGGATCGCGGGTGGGTCGCGGGCCGGGTCGCGGGGGGGGACGACGACAACAAACACCAACAAACAACGACAATCCGCACCGCAGAACCTCACTTCAGCCACGCGCTCAGGGACAATGAATGACCGTTCGGCCCCCTCACTATGATATACATACATACACATACATACATACATACACACACACATACATACATACATACATACATACATACATACATACATGCATACATACATGCATACATACATACATACATACATGCATACATGCATACATGCATACATGCATACATGCATACATGCATACATGCATACATGCATACATGCATACATGCATACATGCATACATGCATACATGCATACATGCATACATGCATGCATACATGCATACATGCATACATATGCATACATGCATGCATGCATGCATACATACATGCATACATGCATACATGCATACATGCATACATGCATACATGCATACATACATACATACATACATACATACATACATACATACATACATACATACACCCGTAGCACCCCGAAATTGTGTATAAGAGTGAGGCGGCGGTCGCGGGATGGGTTGCCTGTGGGTCGCGGGTGAGTCGCGGGTGGGTCGCGGGGTGGGTCGGACCACATACGTGGAGGAAAGAGGTCGCCGTTGAGGTTGAGTAGTCAAATCGGTAGATGCCTCGCGCAAACATGGGCACGCATCAACGAAGCGATCGACTTGTGAAAAGCCCTGGCTGGCAACTTCTAGAACACTTGCTTAACAGCTTTGAAGCGTCAGGGGAGAGATGGGGGGTCGGGGAAAATGTCGCGGACGCCGAACGCGCGAGCCAGTCATGGCAAGCGCTGGGCCACACCGCAACGACTTGCGCACAGGGGAGCCGGGCGGCCGCGGAGAGAGGAAAGCAACAAGCAACGTCAGAACATGCAGCGCCGGCGCTCATAATCGGACCACAGGGCACGGAAGCTGTAAGGGAGGTCGAGCACCGCCGAGCCCTGCCAGTAAAAAAACAAGAATCCAGCACACTGGGGCTAGCGCATCACGAAGCAAATCAGGGTGCGGGGGGCAGAAATGTCTCACACAGTCCCTAGATGCGTGCCTGATGTGGACGTCCGCGGTGAGGATTACTGTTGATGGTTGTTGTTTGTTTGCTGTTGTCGTCCTCCTCGCCCACGACCCGCCCGCGGCCCACCCGCGACCCGCCCGCGATCTCAACGCGACTCATACGCGACCCACCCACGACCCGCCCACGACACACCCGCGACCCATCCGCGACCCACCCACATTGCTTCGGCGAAAACTCGGCACCTGCGGCGGGCTCGTTGCGCAGTGTGCTCTGATGACCGATCCGCAACAGGGATTGCCATGGCAGGGTGACATGCGGATAGCCAACTGGGCGGTGAGCGTCGAAGCGACCACGTAGAGAGGCGGAAGAAGACGAGTATGCTAGAGGATAGCAGATGCAGAATAGACGGTGGAGGGCGGAGAGGGCGGATGACGGCGCCTACGGTGACGCGTTAGAAGCAGCGGGGAGCTCGATCGTGTCTTTCCTCGTATATAATAATGCTGTCGACGCAAGGAAGGTTTCGACTTATGACTTTCTCAAGGTGTCGCTGATGCTCACCAGGTGGATCAAGAAGTGGATGACGAGAGAAAAAGGCGAGGAGACGGAAACAGACGGGGCACAAGGTGCAGGAGATACAAGGAAGGGATGAATGAGGAGTACGAGCAGGAGGAGGAGAAGAAACAGAGAGAGAGAGAGAACATGCAGCCAAGCGACGGCCAAGAGCATATGCGGCATCACAAAGAGGGCCTTGCTTTGGGCGGGACGCGGTGGGGCCGCAACTTCAGCGCCAACAGCGACAGCAATAACGCGTGATCTCAAAGAGAAGAAGAAAATACAACAACAACAACAACAACAACAACAACAACAACAACAACAACAACAACAACAACAACAACAAACAATCACAACCACAACCACAACCACAACCACAACAGCTATAGCAACAGCAACAGCAACAGCAACAGCAACAGCAGCAACAGCAACAACAAAACGGCTTCCCGGCCCGTCCCTGTCGGCTCCCTGGATAGCCTCACTCTCCGCTTCTCGTCCTCCTCTTCCTCCTCCTCCTCCTCCTCTTCCTCCTCCTGCCTTTCCCCCCGCGAGAATACTCCCCCCGTCAAGATCACGGAAATCGGGGCACCGTTTAGGAGGACCTCCTGCTCACCCTCGGCCGTCCCATCCGCGCTCAAGCCGCGAAGCGGGAGGCTCGGGGGGCAAAGACGGGGAGAGGGGGGGAGGGGGGGGGAGTAAAGGGGGGTGGAGGGCGGCTAAGCTCGAAAGGTCTGGGGGTCAGTTGTGCAGACGAAGATGTCTTGCCACCCCACTGCTCCAGATCCTCAGAGATCCGACGTCGTGATTTTGTTCGAGGCGGGGGTCCCTGAAAGTCTCGACCCATTCCCTGGCCTGGAACGGGCTTTTCATCCTGAGTCGCGTCTTGACGGGGAGCAAGGAGGAAGGAGGGCAGCAAGAGTCTGCGGGAGCTCACGGGATCGACGACGCGCACGGCCCCAGCCGACCCCCTGCGGCAGCGAAGGGGCCACGGTCGACGGCCGGAGGCAGCGGCGGAGACGGGGAGCCGCGAGGCGCACGCAGCCGCGGCCGAAGAGCGGCAGGCGCCTGCAGAATGGCAGACGGCGACGGAGGGAGAGACACGTGGCAGAGGCCAAGCAGGAGACGCTGCACGACGCATGAATCGGGGATGGACAGACACCCCTTTAGTAAAACGTGGTTTAGTGAAAACGACCTGAGGCCCAAACCTGGCGGGCGCAAGCCTGGAAAATAACGGCCACGGCGCCCTCTCGAGAACCGAAAACGGACAATTCACTAATCGATGTGTCACTGTTGGGGGTTCTGTCCACCCCCGAATGAACGGGCGATCAGACAGAACAGAGGCTCCGGTTCAACGTGCGGCCTGGTAAACGCGCCCGCTAGCGGGATGTGAGAAAAAGGAGTGCGTGCTGTCGGTTCGTTCGTTTGATGGCTGGCGGAGATCGCGTATGATGCTATGGCGAGTCGATTTCCTGTCGTAGTTTAGCACGCTCACGAAACGAGACGATGGATCGCAGCCTCGGAGCCCACAATCGCTGCCCGTCGAGACGCCTTATGGCGCGCATGACATGTGATCATAGAACCGCGCCGCCATCATGGGCTGCGTCCCGCGTGTTTGACAGAAGGACAGGCGTGGTTGCGGCGGGAGGCGAATGGGGAGATAAAATGGCTACGGAGAAGGCAGGACGAAGGAGGGAGAGAAAAATCGGGAGGAACGAAGAAGGGAGAAAGGAACACCATAACATCAACGTCAGACGCGGGGCCCCACGGGCGGCGCTGGTGGCAGCGCCGATGCTGGCGGCGGCGGGGCGGGGGCCTGTGGATCTTCGACTCCGCCGTGGCGCCACGTGGGACCATGCGCGCCTGCCGCCATCGGGGAATCTGGCTGGCAGAAAAAATGTGGGCACCTCGGCCAGCCTCGAAAGCTCCGGTTGACCTCGGAAAACCTCGGCTTGAATGGAGGCGCCAAGTGTACACCACGGTGATGTTGGCCATGAGAGCACTGCCGACTCGGCTAGAAAGGAAAGGACACAAATCCTAAGCACAGGATAGGCCTGGGCAGGATCGGAGCACAGAGTAAACGGCGCCTTCCGATCGGACGGCCTCGGAGGCCTCAGGGGGGGTCGGGGGGCCTCGGGTGAGGAACCTCGGAGGACGACAGGTTGCGCTGGCCAGATGGCCCCGTGACCGTTCGCACCCGCGTGCGCGGGATCCCAGAGATTCCTCCTCCAGCTCCGCCGCCGTTTCCGTATCGCGCCTTTTTCTCAGCCACCCCATCCTGCTGTTGTTGTTGCTGTTCCTTCCTTACATCATCATGCGCCAACCTCCCCCTCCTCCTCATGTCACTCCGCCTGTTTATCCCCCTCCTCCTCAACCTCCGTCCTTCTTGTCAATATCATCGTTACGTTCCGCCTGTGCCTCCGTATCCACATTCGCCCCCACCTGCATGTTTTTGTCCTCTCTTATATTCCTTGCTCTCCTTCTCCTCCTCACCATCATCCTCCTTAGCCTTGGTATTATTGTTGTTACTCTCAGTATTAGTATAAGTATGGCTACTGCTAATATAATTCGTGTGATTAGTATGCTTACTATCACGATTAGTGTAGCTATGAATACTATGTTCCTCCGTTGTCTTAAACTTCTCATTCGTCTGTGTATTCTTACTACGCAATGATTCTCCATATAATATTATGAATCATATGATTGTGTAATTATTCATCTCGGTATTCATATCATTTATATCATTAGTACTCATACTACAATTCTTCGTTGTATAATCATTCATTGTATTAGTGGCAGTAGTGTGTTCACTGGTATCTTAAGTTGTATGAATCTCTTCTCTGCTGATTATTGTGATTATGCCTCTTCGTTAAATTAATGTTGCTGAACTTATGAGTACGAGTGGTATTAATACGATTCGTTTTAATATCCCTATTTTTCCTCGTAATACAATCAATACTCTTGACAAACGTATTACGTTTGTTTTATGTTTATCAGTACTATGATTATGAGTCGTTCTATTTTCATCACTACTATTACTATATCATTATTTATGTTCCTCCTCTTCTGCCCCCTCCTCGTCATCCTCCTCCTCCTCCTCCTCTTCCTCTTCCTCCTCCACCTCACGATCGCGCTGTAAGAATACCATCACTGTCACAGCTTGAATGGGGGAAGGAGAGAGCGGAGGAATTTGGAAAGGGACGAGAGGGCGAGCCGCTGTATGTAAGGATGCGCGATAATGTCAAGCATGAAACGTGCGGCGTCAGCGCACATTCTGACACTCCCACCGCGCAGCATTGGCAGAGGAAAACAGATGCCTGACAGGACGGATCTCCAGCGAGCATCAGCAGAGCCAAGAAATACTGACCCGACAAATGCCACATGGATTGTCGCGGCGGACGGGCAGGCAGACCGCGCCCGCACGTCAAGCTGGGCGCCAAAAAACGCCACGGAAACGAACGTGCGCGCGAATAAACATGAGCACGCCTGGCAAAACAATTGGCACGCGTGCCCTGGCTCTTGCGCCAAAGCGCTGCGAAGGACAGGAGGTTTCGCCCCCTTCCTCCAGGAGATTCTTTCCGCGGCCGGGGGGGGCGAACGGCGAACGACGAACGAACGACAAACGATAATAAAGAGTCCGAGCTCGAAAACACACCCGCGCAGGATAATAAACCTGTCCGAACTCGAGAACACAGCGGGCAAGTCCAGGGGGGCCTGGGAAGAGGACGCACAAAGCGCGGCCGCAATGACCACAGGGGTCGGCGCGGCGACACCACGCCCGACGCGGGGCGCGGCGCCGCGCCGACTGCGCGCGGGCGCGGCTGCGCGCCGCGGACCGCTGCCCCACGCGGGGGCCGCCCGCGCACCGCCCCGCCGCCGCTCGCGGCCGACTGCGGCGCGAGGGCGCGAGAGACCCCGCGCCAACCGAGCGCACTCGCGACGCAGGCGGGCGCGCGCGGGCGAGCGCAACCCGGCGCGACCGCTTGACCGCGCGCCGAACGGATGCGCGAGCGGCCGCGACGAAGGTTTGCAAAGGCACGGGCGGACAGTGGTCCGCGCCCCCCACGAGTCGCGGAGCCAGGACGCCGCGCGCCTCCTCGGCCGCGACGCACTCCAGCTCATCGGCCGGCAAATAGCGCGGGAAGGCCGACGACCTCCAGCCTCTGGCGCGCAAAATTTCGCCGATGGTGGAGCCGCCCGCCAAAATGTCCCACGCATGGCCACGATATCACGACGACTTGCGCGCGCGGTGTACGCATACGCATTGGCTACGCCAGCTTTCGAAAGCGCGTCGCGGAGGCCTTCGATGGCCGCCGCACTCGCGACGCCAGCGAACAGCGGGCGATCTCGGGCGCCCGACGCGAGGCACTGCCCGATCGCATGCACTGGGCACGAGATGCGCGACGAGGCGCACAGGCAGCGGCGCCACCACGTCGCGGGACGCCCCTCATTCTTGCGCCGCGCGAGCCGGAGGCCAAGTGCCGCCTCGGCCACGACGACCGACGCCGGAGCCGCGGCGTCGAATTCGCTAGAGCTGCCGCAAGCATTGATGAGGGCCCTCCGACGGGAGGCGGAGCAAAAAGATGCGCGCCGACGCAAATAGCAGCGCGAGGCGGCGCTCCACCCTGCCCTCCGCGGCCAGTGTGAGCACGCGCCCTATGACTTCCCGCCGCGCGACTGTCCTCATGCGCAGGACAAAAGAGGAGCGTTTCGCGACCGCTTGCCTGATACGCTGCACGAACGACGCACCGAGCGCCTCCACAGCGAAACCGATAGCCATGGAGACCGCGCGGAGATGACACGCGCAATTCGCGAACGCGCGCTCGGACCTGATCAAGCCCGAGAACACAGCGAGCCCAGCCCTGGACACGAGAAACTCTCTGCCCGCCAAACCCCTGGCATTTGCGAATTTGGACCAGGCGAAGTGCGCTGCGCACGCCGCCAAGCGACCAAATCTTCGAACCCAGCGCCGCGCTCGCGCACTTGCGCGCGCCGAGGCGAAATCGCCCCCCGCGCGACAACGGCCGCCGGCGCGGCCCGGGGGCTCACTTCCGGAGGCGCGAAATCCCACGAAAAGCGCGCGGCTTCGCCGAACCTAACGGCGATTGGCCGCACGACTCGGCACGCGGCCATCCTCGGGGGCGCGCCCAGGGCCGTCAGCGAGCTGCGCGATTGTACAACAGATGAGCTGGACGCCGATTCTCCGTCGGCGCCCGAAGTCGGGCCGCCCTCGACTGCCACGGGGCAGGCAGGGGGGGCGCCGCGCCGCGTCGCGCCCGCGGCTGCGCGATCGGGCGGGCGCCGCGGGGCGGTTCGCCGCCGACATAAGCTGCGTCGCCACGCGCCGATGCCGAGGCGACAGCGCGTCGAAGCCCGTCGCGTCTGGTTCATCGACGTCGCGAAGGTCCGCCAGGCCCTTCGCGCCGGCCACAATCAGCAACTCACGAGCGCCAATTAAGTGATGAGGCGCTGCGTCTGGCGCCGAGTCCCGCGCGCTCGCGAAGAACATCGACCGTTGCGACATCGGAGAGAACACGTTTCACGGGCGCTTGCCGTGGGAACATTTGGCGCACGCCTTGGGAACAAGGGGGTGGCCCTCCCCCACACTCGGCGCCGTCGATGAGAACCAGGGGGGCCCCCCTCCCCCCCAAACCCCCCCCCCTCCGACCCGCCCCCCCCCCTCCCAAGGAGGAGGGTTCTAAGCCCCCCCCCTCCAGTGCCCGCGCTGGCGGCCGCAAGCAGCGCCGACGGCGGAAACGCAACGACGACGACCAGAAGCAGCGAACGGCGCTGGCGGCGGCCAGCGGCGCTGGCGCCGGCACCGGCGACGGCGGGGACGCAGCGACGATTACCACCACCACCACCACCGCCACCACCACCACCACTACAAACCACCACCACCACCACCAACCACCACACAACCACCACCACCGCCACCACCACCAACTCCCATCACCACCACCACCACCACCACCACCACAAAAACCAACACCACCACTGCCACCAACACCACCACCACAATCTACCACACCACCACCACCACCGCCACCGCCACAACCACCACCACTACTAGCAGCACTACCCGCCGCCACCACTACAAACCACCACACCACCACCACCACCACCGCCACCATCACCACCACCAGCACCACGTCCACAAACCTCCGCCACCTTCACAACCCACCACCACCACCACCACCACCACCACCACCACATCACCACAACACCACCACAACCATCACCACCACAACTCACCATCACCACCACCACCACCACCACAAAAACCCACCACCACTACCACCACCACCACCACAATCTACCACACCACCACCACCACCGCCACAACCACCACCCCTACTAGCTGCACAACCCGCCGCCACCACTACAAACCACGACACCACCACCACCACCGACACCGCCACCACCACGAGCACCACCTCCACAAACCACCGCCACCACCACAACCCACCACCACCACCATCAACCACAACACCGCCACCAACCCACCACTTCCACCACCACCACCACCACAATCTACCACCACCACCACCACCACCACAAACCATCATCACACCACCACCAAACCACCACCACCACCCACCACCACAAACACCACCACCACAACAAACCAACACACCACCACCACCACCACAACCACCACCACCGCCACCACCACCACCACAACCAACCACCACCAGCATTTCCACCATCGTCCTGGTCGACGCTCCCCGCCGCCGCCGCCCGCCGCCGCAGGCGCCGGCGCCGGCCCAGAAAAAGAAATCGTCGCCCCCGCCGCCGCCGCCAGCCGCCGCCGACGCAAGCGCCGGCCCGAGGAAAGGAGGGGAAGCAGGGGATGAAGGGAGGGGGGGGAGGGTTCGAACCCCCCCCCTCCGTCAAGGAGGGGGGGGGGGTCGAAACACCCCCCCCTCTTTCCAAGAGGGGGGGTCCGGTTTCACAACCCCCCCCTCCAACCAAGCGACCACAGCGCGCGCTCCTTCCGACATCGCGACGCGCCACTCTGTGGCGCGCGCTGCAGGCGGAGGAGGGCGCGGCCACGCGCGCACGCGCCTTCATAGCGACCTGGCCCCTCTGCCACTGCACACGCTAACTCCGCCCCCTCGCGAGCCCCCGAACGAACGCAAGCAGGTTCTGGCCCGCGCGCGGGCGCGCGTTGGCCCGCGCTGAAACAGAACGACGCTGACGCGATGCGCAGGCAGGGGCACAGGACTGAACGCCACCAGGGCATCGGCTCGAGTTGCGCCCGAAGCCTGAATTAATTCATCCTGGGTGCGATCCAGAGCAGCTAGGACTGAATTACACGCGCGTTGAATTGCTGTCCTCGGGCAATCAGTACAAGACAAGAGCAGCGCCTTGCGCAAAACAGCTATTCACCCCCCTCTGCGTTCAAGCTGCGCCTGCGCAAAATCACTGCAAACTTCCAGCTGCAGCACTGACGCGTCTTAATAGACCGACCTGTCATTAACCATGGTGTGCCAAAAGACACATCCCAGGGCTCACAGCCACTGCCATATGACGGCGTTATGGACATACTGTGATGAGACTCGTTCCCAGCATCAGAAGAAAGACTTTGTTAGCTCGTCCCCTCGCGTGCCATTGAGCCTGGCACGCTGTCATGTCCCCCCGAAGATGTTGCCTCTAAACTCTCGACCCACCCTCTCTGAAGGCGTTGGAATGGTTTACGCATATGCTCTCATTGCATCGACGTAGATGATGTTCCACAAACCGAACCACGACACCGTGTCTTCATAAAACCGTGTTGGCCAACTCCATCACGTTAAGCCTGTTACCGCTGACAACAGAAACGGCCGTCCGCTTGCCAAGACTAACTCGAACATCCACAACGAAGCTTCCGATGTGCCCACGGCAACTACGTGATTTGGCCAAAAAATCCGCCGACCCTGTCGGCGTGTGGAAGACGCATCCCGGTGTCGTCGTCTTGCGTGGATCACCGTCGTCGTCGTCGTCGTCGTCGTCTCCGTCGTGTCCTCGTCGTCTCCGTCTCCGTTGTCCCTCGTCGTCTTCGTCGTTTCCCGTCTCCTTGAGCGCGCGAGCCAAAGCGACATTGAGCAACGTCGTAGTTGAGTCGTGGCGAAGCCCCTCCCTACCCTCCCCGCCGGGGGGGGGGGGGAGGGTCGCCGGGGGGGGTCGCCACCCAGATACGCATCCTCCCCGGGGGGTCCCGGAGCTCAGAAAAGCTTCAAGACGAGCCAAGAGCGACAGAAGACACCCCCAAAAGGGTACTAGAGGGCCTCGACTCGACGAACGATGGCCCCAAGACGCCCAAGACGGCCCGAAGACGGCCCAAAAGGCCCTCAAGACGCTCCAAGAGAGCCCCAAGAGCACACCCAAGAGGGCCCCAGGCGCCAAAATCGTAAATTTTACATCGGTTTTTGAATGATTTTGGCCTTCTCGCATTTTCGGCTTTCCGACACTCCAAGACGGCCCAAGAGGCCCCCAAGAGGCCCCCAAGAGCGCCCCAAGAGGCCTACAAGAGGGCCCCAAGACGGCCCAAGAAGGCCCCAGGACAGCCTAAGAGGCGCCCAAGACGGCCCAATAGGGCCCCAAGACGGGCCCAAGAAACGGCCAAGAGGGGGACGAGGAACCGAGAATTCGAGACTTCCGCCCTAAGATGCCCCCGGGAAGCCCCAAGAGGCCCCCAAAAGGCCCCAAGAGGCCCCCGAGCGGCGCCAAGACGCCCCCAAGATGCGCCGAAGACGGCCTCCGGAAGCCCCAAGAAGCCCAAAAGAGGCCCCAAGAGGCCCCACAACGGCCCCCAAGAGGCTTCAAGTTGCCTTCCAGACGCCCCCGAGAGGTCAACCACGAGATCCCAACCAACATCCATAAGGCCTCCTCCTCCTCCCCCTTCACCTTCCTCCTCCTACTCCCTTCCGCCTCCTCCTCCTCCTCCTCCTGCCCCCCCCCTCGTGTTGTCTTTCGTCATCTTCAGGGTCGGCGGCAACGGCCGTAAGGCCTTCGCAATCTTGCTTGAGAGCCCGATCGAAGGCAGCTGGTACATCGGACATGCACAGAGCAATCTGGCAGTACTCCGTGAAAGACAGGAGCCTAGACCCAAAAAGGAATGCCAAGGTACCGCGGGCGCCTCTGCCAGGGTAACAGGCAAATTTATTGGTGGCAGTGATGATTTTCGACATTAGTGCTGGTCGGAAAACAGGCTGCAGAAACCTGTTCCATGACTTTGGCCAGCTGCGCTGTCAAGTGCACCCCCCTGTGGTTGCTTCGGTCATACACAATCGTCGTCACTGTCTGTGGCTACTGTCATATGCCCTTCCACGCTGACGGCCACTCCCCAGCTTTCAAAATCGAAAGACCCATTAAGAAACTGGAATAGTGAACGAACTTGCGCACCGATTCAACATCCGGCTTGGCAATAAATCTGGGGCCATTGCGCGTTTCCATCCAGAGTCCTCAGCGGTTAGGTCACCGTTTCCAGGTTGAGGGAAGAGTAGTTGTCAGTGTCCCGATTGCGTCTTCACTTCATTCATGTGGCTGTATTCCTTCGCCTGCGGCTATGAGAAAACGAATTTGATGTGCATCACATTCGACGGCATGTTGGCTGTCGTCGGGATCCCTGGCCCAAACGCCGCTGGCTGCACGAAGAGCTGGAATATTACAAGGTCTTGTCTTCTATTGCTGGAACTGCCATTCTCAAGCCCTCCACGCGTTGGAGCCCCTTCTAATTTAGTTCAACTCCTCCCGAACCTCCTCGGCCCAGAGGCCATATTCCATCACGATCGTCTTGCTGTACTCAGCGGCGAACACAAATTACGTGTCCGTGCATTCGGCCCGCCGCTTGGCCAGCACAGCCTCCGTCACTCTGTCACTCAAACAAAGGTGTGAAAATGTGCATTCACGCAAGAATATAGTGTCGACGCACTGCCGGGCGCATTCCATGACGATCCACGAACAGCTCCGCGCCCTTCGACGGAGAAGCGCCCAACAACAAATCCCACGAACAAGAGCTCAGCAAAGTGTCCAACTCCTCCTAGCGAGCCCCACTAAAACGGCCACAAATCCTCTTCCTTCTCCTCCTTCTCCTCCTTCTCCTCCTCCTCCTCCTTCCCCCGCCTCCTTACATCTCCACGTCCACCGTGCATCCAATCCTCGTCCCTTTCAGCCTCTCCTCCTATTCCTCTTCCACCCGTGAGGTTCCTCCAGTTTCTCGTTGAATATTGCTCGCCCTAATCTTCCGCAGCCTGCCTGACTCGCACACGCAAGATCCAACCTCGCACAAATCGAACGCATCAAAGTCTCAGGAAGGCCGTTCTCCGGACGCCTGCAAGCATGGCGGCAAGACACTCGAATCATTTCGCAAAAATCTGACGCACCACCTTCGCAGCCTCACCAGAACAGTCGCCTCCTTCGCATCCTCCCCGCTTTCCCAAAGACGCACGCGGACGTGGTTTCCGGATCCGTGGATTCATGGCGCGCGGGCACGGGGGGGGGGGGAAACACCCCCGCGAGGCATGAAGCCGGTGCCGCCTGACTTGACGACAGCGCGCCGCGATTCTGCACGGAAGCGGGATCCGTCGATAATCGAGGCGCCTTAATCCGCACCTGCGTGTCCTCGGTTCCCCAATCCTCAAAAAAACTCATTGACCCTCCTCCCCATCCTCCTCCCCCACCCCCTCCCCGTTTTCTCGGGCACCTCCCCCGGGGCCCCAAAACCATGTAGCGACGGACCGCGTGGTGAGCTCGGCATCCCCAACGACCTCACCGCGCGGTCCGTCACCAACCGATCTTGGGATCCTGGAGGCCCCACTCATCCCCAGAGAACGACCCAGGTCCCGAAACTGTGCGGATACCCAAATCCCCGTTGACTCACCACGCGGTGTGGTCACCTCACCGCTTGGGGGCCTCAAAAGTTTTCTGGGTTATCCCAGAGCCCTAGGCAAGCCTCGCGGTGTCCCTGGAGCCCCCCGAAAGCTGCCTGGAAGGCCTCGGGAGGCCAAAGCAGAAAACGAAGGCGCCCAAAGACCTCGACGCCTCGATCCTCGATCCTCCTCGCCCTCGATCCTCCTCGATCCTCTTCGATCCACTCTGATTGTCTTCGCTCATCATCGATCCTCGATCCTCCACAATCCTCTTTGATCCTCCTCGATCGCCGTCGACCCTCCATCCCCCTCGATCCTCCTCGATACCTCGACCCTCGACACGCGATTTGCCCGCTCCTCTTTGGGGCGCGCATGCCTGGACGTCACCGAAGCTGCAGAAGCCTTCGGGGGCCTGCAGGTACGTGGCCCACGGGCCCTCCAGCTCGCGGGCCAGCTGGTCGGCGGCCTCTCGTGCCGGAGCCCGTCAAGAGGAGGAGGAGGAGCGGGAGGAGGATGAGGAGGAGGAGGACGACGACGACGACGGCGACAACGTCGACGGCGACGACGGCGACGGCGGCGACGGCGACAACGACGAGGAGGTTCTTGTCATCCGAAGAATCATCTCGGCCCCTCCACACAAGCCTGCTGGACCTTTTGCAAAGGAATCTTGGAGCCTCCAGAGGAGCCTTCTGGACCCTCCTCAACAGGTTTTGGGTCCTCTCAAGAATACTCACCCACCCGCCAAGAATGGCACCATGAAAACTGTCCGCCGCCCGTCCATAAAATTAAAAACACGAAGTCCTCCACCTATCCGCCAAAAGCGGCAACCCACAGACTCACACCCACAGGCGTATCAAACAACAAATCACACATCCTGGCTCACCCAAACGACACTGCAACCCGAATATCCTCACCCACCCGCACATCTAACAGTAACCCAGATATGTTCTCACGCCCGTAAAAAAAACAGACCCATTATCCTCACCGAGCTGTTGATGAAACTGCAACCCACTTCATCTCACCCACCCGCGGATACGACATCAACCCAAATATCTTCACCCACCCTCCGAGAAAGCTGCAACTCACATATCCACCCGCCCGCCGACGAAACTGCATCCGAATATCCTCAGCCACCCGCCTGAAACAGCACCAACATAGAATATCATCACCCACGCGCTGGTAAAACAGCAGGCCTAAATGTCCTTCCCACCACCACAACCACCGCACCCGTGGATACAAGTGCAACGATGATCTCCTCACCCACCCGACGCTAAAAACTCCAACTGTTAAATCATAACGCACCTGCAACCCAGATCCAGTCAGCCCCTAAGGGCGCAGGGGTTCAGCGAGGTGGTTGCTTTAACCCCCTTCGTCTACTTCGGGGAGTACTTTTCCTCCTAGTCCCCACACCCTGGGCATCGTATGTTACTCAGAATGTCGACAAGAAGAGACGGCGACGCCGGTGGCAGCGGCATGGAGAAGGCCTTTTCAATTCTCGCACAGCCGCACATTGTGAACCGCTGATAATCGAGGCAAACAGGGCGGCGCCGCCTTGAGCCAAGGCGGCGGCGGGGCAGGCAAAGCATGGTTCGTAACGCCCCCCTTCCGGAGCGCCCCCTCAAAGTCGAGCTGGAGGGGGCACAGCTTGCTTGCTGCCGCCTTGATATTTAGCTCAAGGCAGCGCTTCCTGTAACAAAACACGGTCGGCGATTGGTAACCGCGACCACTGACGCAGTGCAAAAAAATAAAAACAGCGCTGCATGCCGGAGTCATATTTCCGCGATTCCGACGACTCAGCACTAAGCTACGTTGGGCGAGAGTAAGCTGAAATTATACAGCCGGCCCCGAAAGCCCAGGATATCACCGACATGGACTGATCCCTGATCGGTGCGGCGGAAGGCTGCAAAGCGAAGTCGCGGTTCCGCGACTATGGGTAACACAGCGCGGGCGCGAGTCAGCGCCGACGAAGAGCGGTCGCAAATCCGCGACAGCTCAGCGCCGGGCCAGCAAGAGAGCCCCCACTGTCTATACACTGCGTGGCTACAGATGTCGTCGTAGACCAGGGGATGCTGATCCATAACGGTGAACTGTTGGGCGCGGCCAGCGTCTTGTGCAGCAAAGCTCCGCCCCTAGAACATAGAGGTTGATTCCTCGTTTCGCGCTTTGGGTGCGGTGGCGGTGCCCCTGGTCTATAGACTGTGGTGGTTTTGAGATATGTAAATATACAAATAGATACATGAATATGTATATAAGAGGGATGGGGGAGGGCAGGAGAGGAGGGGGGAGGGAGGTAGGGGAGAGGAGGACGGCGGAAAGGAGGGAGAAGAGGAAGGAGCAACCAGGGAGGGGGAGGGGGGAAGGAGGAGGGGCGAGGAGAGATCGGGAGGGTGGGCAGAGAGGGGTAGGGAGGGAGGAAAAGGGGGAGGGCGGAAATCGTGCCATATCTGACATCCCATCCCTCCCTCCCACCCCTTCCCTTCCGCGTTGCCTTTCTCTCTGCCAGCGGGCGCGTGTCACAGCGGACCTGGAACCCAAAAAAACGCAGCTGCGCACGTAGGAGGACGAGGAAGGAGGAGGAGGAGGAAGGGGAGCAGGAGGACGAGGTGAGCAGGAGGAGGAGCAGGAGGAGTAGGAGGAAGAGGATGACGAGGAAGAGGAGGTGAGCAGGAGTAGGAGGAGGACGAGGTGAGCAGGAGGAGGAGCAGGAGGAAGGGAATGACGAGGGAGGAGGAGGACGAGGGCAGAGAGCAGCAGCAGGAACTGGAGTGAGAAAGGAGCGGGAGAAGCAGGCGGCCCCGTGGAAAACGGAGGAGCGGGAGGGGAAAAGAGGCAGGACGCGAGGAGAGGAGACGAGCAGCAGCAGCGGGAACCGGAGCGGAAGGAGCTGGAAGAGCAGGAAGACCAGAGGGGAGTGGAGGAGCAGGAGGGAAAGAGGCAGGATGCAAAAAGGGGGGACGAACAGCAGCAGCGGGAGCTGGAGTGGAGGGAGCGGGAGGAGCAGGAGGACCAGAGGGAGGTAGAGGAGGGCAAGGACGAGAGCGACAACGATGAGGAAGGGCCCGTTTCCAGATAAGCGGCCCACGCTTGGGCGAGAGCGCCACTCTGAACGACGGGAGCACAGCACCGATCCTAGAATGGGGCCCACGCTGCAGCGGGAGCACCATTTTTGAAACGCCGAAAACAATCATAGTGTACAAACAGATTGGAAAAAAATACTCTGCCGACCCAGCGAAAAACACATAAAAAACACATAACGCGGAGAGTGCGAGGCATCTCCCAGACAGAGCAAGAGTAGAGAGTAGAGTAGCATTCATATCGTGTAACTGTAGGGTAGAAGGGAGGAGGGAGAGGGGGAGGAGGGAGGACGGAAGGGAGGAGCTGTGGGAGGAAGAGAAAAAGGATGAGGAGAGGGAGCGGACAAAGGAGAGGGAACTTTTGCGGCCCCCAATACTATTCACCACCGTGCCTCGAGGCACGAAGTGGAGTTACCCCCAGGCTTTCATGTGTCCTCTGTTCCCTGAACTCAGGACTGGGTGATTCCAGTACTTTCAGATCCGAGAGGCTCCCAGGAAGCTCCCAGGAGGCCCCAAAAGTGCCCCCAGAGGCTCCCATGATGTCCCCTCCTCCTCCTCCTCCTCCTCCTCCTCCGCCGCCTCCTCCTGAGATTCCCCGCCATCCTCCCCCAAGTGTTCCCCGAAGGGTTTCCCCAACGGTTGGTGTGAGCACATGGTCCGATAGCTTGGCAGAGCTCTTGCAACAACGCTCGGCCACTTGAGCGATTCTAGAAGGCAGGGGGCGGCGGTGATTCGCCGTAGGCGTCTTCGATCCACCGCCCCCTGTGCTTGTCACAGGGGTGATCGGCGTGCTAGACGCTACCGGTTTTGGTTGTGGCTTTTTTGTCCAAAAGAACTCTCCCCTCGGGGTTCGGCCCGTCCCGTCGGCCATCCGGAAGGGACCGCAAACTATCGCAAGAGGTGGTTGCAAAGGTTTCTCTGCTGCAGACGGCTTCAAGATGACACAAGATGGCTTCCAAGATGCCTCCAAGATGGCCAAGATGGCCTCCAAGACGGCCCAAGAGGGTCCAAGATACATCCAAGTCCGCCCAAGAAGCCTTCAAGACGGCCCAAGACTGCCCAAGAGGTGCCCAAGAGGCCTCCAAGACGGCCCAAGAGGCCGACGTCCTCCAGGAGGGCCCGAAGAGGCTAAAATCATTGATTTGCTGTAGGTGTTTGAAGGATGTTCGTATTTACTCTTTTTCGACCTTCCGACGGCCCAAGACGGCCCAAGAGGCCCCCAAGATCGCCCCCAGAGCGCCCAAGAGGCCTCCAAGATGGCCTCAGGACTGCCCAAGAGGCCCCCAAGACTGCCCAAGAGTGCCCCAAGACGGCCTAAATGGCATCTAAGACGCCCCAGGAAGCCTCCAAGACGGCCCTACAGCACCCCAAGAGGGCCCCAAGTCGGCCCAGAGAGGCCCCTAAGATGGCCCCCGACGGCGTCAGATGGGCCAGGAGCCCAACAAGACGGCCCAACATGACCCTAAGATGGGCCAAGACGGCCCAAGAGGCCTCCAGAAAGGCCTCCAAAAGGGCCCCCAGGAAGGCCCGAATGAACCAAAATCATTGAGTTTCCTGGGATGTTTGAAGGAGTTTGGCAGTTGCGTCTTTTCGGCCTACCGACGGCCCGAGACGGCCCAAGAGCCCCCAAAGATCGCCCCCCAGAGCGCCCACAAGAGGCCCCCAAGATGACCCCAAGAGGTCCCAACGACGGCACAAGAGGCTTCCAAGACGCCCACGAAATCCTCCAAGACCGCCCTGGAGCAGTCCAACAGGGATTCAAGTCAGTCAAGAAAGGCCCCCAAGACGGCCCCCGATGGCGTGAGACGGGCCAGGAGCCCCCAAGACGGTCACAGATGGCCCTAAGATGGGCCAAGACGGCCCAAGAGGTCTCAAAGAGGGCCTCCAGGAAGGCCCGAAGAGGCCAAAATCATTGATGATCTGTTGGTATTTGCAGGATGTTGGCATCTGCTTATTCTCTTGCACAGCTGTGCTCTAGAGCTCGGACATCTATATTTTCGTCGTGGTTCGTGGTTCGTGGTGGTTCGTCCCCCTCGGCCCCTCCCCTGAGCCTGAGCCCCAGCTCCCCTGGGCCACCCACCCTTCGGAGGCTTGCTCCGTCCAGGCTTCCCCGGACAGCCCCCCTGGGCCGCGGACATCCTTCTTTTCGTCGTGGTTCGTGCTTCGTCGCGGTTCGTCCCCCTCGGCCCCTCCCCTGAGCCTGAGCCCCAGCTGCCCTGGGCAACCCCCCCTTGAGACCCCCCGCCGCGGACATCTTTAGTTTCGTCGTGGTTCGTGGTTCGTGGTGGTTCGCCCCCCTCGGCCCCTCCCCTGAGCCTGAGCCCCAGCTCCCCTGGGCCACCCACTCTTCGGAGGCTTGCTCCGTCTAGGCTTCCCAGGACAGCCCCCCTGGGCCGCGGACATCCTTATTTTCGTGGTGGTTCGTGGTTCGTCGTGGTTCGTCCCCCTCGGCTCCCCTGAGCCTGAGCCCCAGCTCCCCTGGGCCACCCCCCCTTGGGACCCCCCCTCCGTCCAGGCTTCCCAGGGCAGCCCCCCTGGGCCGCGGAACCTGTTGCAGCTTCTTTGCGCAGCTCCTTTGCGCAGCTCCTTTGTGCAAGAGTCAGGGCACGCGTGCCACTTGTTTTCGGCCTACCGACGGCCAGAGACTGCCCAAGAGCCCCCAAAGATCGCCCCAAGATCGCCCAAGAGGCCTCTAGGATGGCCCCGGAACGGCCCAAGAGGCCAGCAAGACGGCCACAAGAGGGCCCCACGACAGCCCAAGAGGCCTCCAAGACGCCCAAGATGGCCTGCAAGACGGCCATGGAGCATCCCAAGAGGGCCCCAAGTCGGCTTCCGACGGCGTCAGACGGGCCAGGAGCCCACCAAAACGGCCGAAGAGGCTCCTGAGGAGCCCCAAAAGGCCCCCAAGAGGTCCAAAGAGGTCCCCGAGATGCCTCCAAGAGGCTCACAAGAAGCTCCCGGGAGGCCCCAAGAGTGTCCCCACAGGCTCCCAAGATGCCCCCTCCTCCTCCTCCTCCTCCTCCTCCTCCTCCTCCTCCTCCTCCTCCTCCTCCTCCTCCTCCCCCTCCTCCCCCTCCTCCTCCGCCTCCTCCTGATCTTCCCCGACATCCTCCCCCAAGTGTTCCCCGAAGGCCGAAGGGGTTCCACAACGGTTGAGGGAGCACGTGATCCGATAGCTGGGCGGAGCTCTTGCCACAACGCTCGGCCACTTGGGCGATTCTAGAAGGCAGGGGGCGGCGGCGACTCGCCGCAGGCGTCTTCGATACACGACCACAACCAGCACCACCTCCCTCCCCCCTCCCTCCCTCATCTGATCTCCTCTTCGTCCCCTCTCTCCTGGAAAAGGGAGGTGGCGGTGGTATATTTGTTGGGGGGACCAAAATTAGCCTCACGAAAGACCCCAACCATATGCAGCTGCGAGTACCGCAGTGTAGGTATCGCTTTCGGTGGAGCTCCTTATGGGGCCACGAACCGTGAGAGGAATGCCGAAATGGGCGCGGTGGTGCCATACGAACGCTGCCACTGAAGCCTTCGGTGGGGCTTCCTCTGGGGCCACGAAACGTGTGAGGAGGTATATCAAAGTGGGTGCGGTGGTGCCATGCGAACACTCCCGCTGGAGCCTTCGGCGGAACTCCCTATGGGGCCACGAACACTGTGAGGGGTGTGCCGGATTGGGCGCCGTGGTGTCATGCGAACCCTCCCACTGGAGCCTTCGGTGGAGCTCCCTATGGGGCCACGAACCGTGTGAGAGGTGTGCTGGCTTGGGTGCGGTGGTGCCATGCGAACCCTCCGACCCCTCGGTGGAGCTCCCTATGGGGCCACGAACCGTGTGAGGGGTGTGCCGAAATGGGCATGTGATGGGCGGGGAGGGCGCATGCGGACACGGCCACTGGGGCCTTCAGTGGAGCTCCCTATGGGGCCACGAAACGTGTGAGGGGTGTGCCGAAATGGGCATGTGGTGGGCGGGGAGGGCGCATGCGGACGCGGCCACTGGGGCCTTCGGTGGAGGTCCCTCTGGGGCCACGAAACGTGTGAGGGGTATGCCGAAATGGACATGCGGAGGGCAGAGGCAAGGAGGGGGGGGAAGGAGGAGGGGAAGGAAGAAGGAAAGAGGAAGGAGAACGCGGGGTGCTGTCTCTTCAAAACGAGGATCCAACACCACAGGACTGTTGGGAAGAATAGCAGTACCGCTGCTCCCTGGACCTCTCCTGGGGCGCCTTCTGACCTGAAGTTTGAAGCGAATCCAGCGGCGGTGGCGGCGAGGGCCTCCCAGGAAGCCAAGAAAAACGTACCGTACCTTGACATCCCCTGACACTTCCCTCCTGTTTCCTGGGAAAGGGAGGTGGTAGTGGTGTATATGTTTGGACCCCGCAGGGAAGCCGAGTCATAGTCGTCGTCTTCGTCGGCGTCATCGTCGTCGTCGGCGGCGGCGGCGTCAGCGTCGGCGTCGGCATCGGCGTCGGCGTCTTCGTCGGCGTCGGCGTCGGCGTCGGTGTCGGTGTCGACATCGGCGTCGGCGTCTGCGTCGGTGTCGGCGTCGGCGTTGGCGTGGTCGTTGGCGCTGGCGTCGGCGTCAGCGTCGGCGTCGGCGTCGTCGTCTGCGTCGGTGTCGGCATCGGCGTCGGCGTCTGCGTCGGCGTCGGCGTCGGCGTCGGCGTCGGCGTCGGCGCTGGCGTCGGCGTCGGCGTCGACGTCGGCGTCGTCGAGGGGAGACGCCTGGGCGTCCCTCTCCGTGGGGTTCGGCCCGAAGCGCGCGGCGGCCAGCAGCCAGAGCTGGCCAGCGAGCGGCAGCTTCTGCTGGGAGCCGCGCTCTCTCTTTCCGGCCCCGACGCACAAATAGAAAGAGGCCCAGGGGGAGACACCAACAAACGGGCACACGAATCCCAGGCTGCCCCACATGTCTTCACCAATGTTCTGGATGATTGCCTTCCCCACGATTTCCTGCAAACCTACGTTTGTTTGTATATGTCTGCATTCCGGCCCCGGCCCCAGCCCCAGCCCTGGCCCCAACCGACAGCCCAAGAGACTCCCAAGAGAGCTCCCAGACGGGCTCCAACGCGTCAGCGTCGTCGTCGTCGCCGCCGGCGGCACCGGCCGCAACGCCTTCCGAATAAGACAGGGGCGCACGGAGACAGAAACCTACATAGGCGCAAGAGTCCCTGGCTTCGTCCATATCTGCACGTAGATAGATAGACAGACAGACAGACAGACAGACAGACAGACAGACAGACAGACAGACAGACAGACAGATAGATAGATAGATATATTGATTGATTGATAGGTAGATAGATAGATAGATAGATGGATGGATGGATGGATGGATGGATGGATAGATAGATAGATATATATATATATAGATATATAGATATATAGATAGGTATATAGATAGATAAATATATAGAGACATACAAAATATGTATAGTGTTAGGTACTAATATGTGTATATAATATATATATATATAATATATATGTGTACATATATATAGCTATGTAGATATATTAGTTGATTGATAGGTAGGTGGATAGATAGATATATAGATATGTAGATAGGTAGATACATATATAGATATAAATATATATATATATTGATAGATGGATAGATGGATATATATATATACATATATATATGTACAAATATGTACAGATAGATATATAGATATATAGATAGATAGATAGATAGATAGATAGATAGATAGATAGATAGCTATAGGTATAGTTATATATACATATATAAATATATAAAGATATATATATATATATATCGATAGCTAGATAGGTAGATAGATAGGTACAGATATTTATATATATATATATATACACACAAATACATACATATGCAAGGAAACTCTGGACGTGTTCGTCGGCCCATCCACCCCATCCTCCAAGTTGCCCCACATCCTCCTGGAACCCTACTTTTGCCCGTGCCTGTGCGTAATTGTATGCTTCCCCTCCTGGGCGGCGCGCGCCTCCCTGGGCGGCGCGCGCACGAGCCGCGTTTTTTGTTGTTGGCCTGCGGCGAGCCGGCTCCAGCAACGGCGAGACGCGTCTGGAGCGAGTGGCGCACACAGGGGAGGAGGAGGAGGAGGAGGAGGAGGAGGAGGAGGAGGAGGTGGAGGAGGAGGAGGAGGAGGTGAAGGGTCGGTTGTCGCTGGATGTGCCCCTGGCCTAGAAAGTGCCCCCAGGATTGCCAAGGAGGCCCCCGCGGCCTCCAGAGCACCCCCTCGCGAGGCCCCGAGGGCCCCTGGGGTTCTGAAGCTGAACGAGAAGCGGGGGCACCTTGGGCCAGGGGCACGTTCAGCAACCCCCGAGGCGGGAGGGAAGGAGAGGAGAGTCACAGGGCGGCTGGAGTGAAGGGCCAAAAAAATTACACCACCACCACCTCCCACCCCACCTCCCTCTCGCTGGAAAGAGGAGAGAGGGGGAATCGGCGTGGTGGTGGTGCATATTCTTTGGGCCCCCATGGAGCGCCCTCAGAGCGTGAAGCAGCAACTTCGGGATGTGCTGGAGTCAGCCTCAGATCCTCGCAGCTGTCAGGGCGTGCGCAGACACATCTCAGATCCAGGGAAGGGAGACGACTCATGCGAAAGCCAGGCAGGAATCCGATAGCTGCTGCGCCCACACGACACGTCCGGACCGAACTCGCAGTGCAAGCATCTTGCCGCACACCGTTGCCCTTGCGGTATTGCCAGGGAGCGCCCGCCGCAGAGCATAGACTTACAAGGGTTCTGAGGGCGCGAGCCGCCCACTCGGGGGGGGCCAACGCACGCATGAGCCAAATACGGTTGGGCGATGCCGACCCCGAGTCCTCCGCGGGGCCTCCAGGGGCCTCCGCGGGTCCCCGGAGCCCGCGGGGGTCCCCGAGGAGCCTCCGGGAGACCGCTGGGAGGAGACCGCTGGGAGGAGACCGGGCGCCAAGAGGGCAAGGGAGAGCGGTGCACAGGGGAGGGGGGCTCGGAAGGGGGGCTCGGAAGGGGGGCAGGCCGGTTCGGACCCCCCACTCCTGCATCTCCGGGGGGGGGGGGGACCGCTCGAACCCCCGACCCCCCTTGGGACAGCGGGGGGTCCAGCTCGATCGGGGGACCTGTTCAGGAAGACGACATTTGGGGGGGGGAGGCGGTTCCCAGGGCGTGCTAAACGTTTTGGGGGGAGGGGGGGCATTTCCACGTGTTCAAATGTTTTTCCAAGGCAACCGTCCACGAACACGAAACGCCTTCTCTCGTACATCGTAGCACCCCGCAGATGCGGATAAGAGTGAAGGGGCGATGGGGACGTCGGCAGTTTGCGAGACTCTGGAGAAGCCCGCCGCAGGCGCAAAAGTTTCACAAATTATACAACGAGCCCGCCGCAGGTGCCGATTTCTTCGTTAAACCAATGTGAGTAGGTCGCGGGTGGGTCGCAAATGGGTCGCGGGTGGGTCGCGGGTGTGTCGCGGGTGGGTCGCTGTTGGGTCGCGGGTGCGTCGCGGGTGTAGAGGGCAGAAAATCCACCCCATAATAATCACCCCGACAAGCGAAGCAGTTTAGTAAACGCACACAAGGAATGAATCGAACAGGACAGGGCTGTTTAGTCAACGCCCAGGGCCGTTTAGTAAACGTCAAGTGTCGGGTCCCGGTGGTTATTCCTCCCTTGAGGGTGGAACGCGGGTGGGTCGTGGGGTGGGTCGCGGATGGGTCGCGGATGGGTCGCGGGGTGGGTCGCGGGTGGGTCGCGGGTGGGTCGAGGGGCGGGTCGCCGGTGGGTCGCGGGTGGGTCGCGGGGTGGGTTGCGGGTGGGTCGCGGGGTGGGTCGCGGGTGGGTCGCGGGTGGGACGTCGACAACAACATCAACAACAACGAACAACAACAACAACAACAACAACAACAACAACAACAACAACAACAACAACAACAACAACAACAACAACAACAACAACAACAACAACACTAAACAACAACAACAACAACAACAACAACAACAACAACGACAATTACTAGCACGTGGGGACACTCCGTTCTCACCAGTGCCAGGGTTTTCATAGGAGGCGGGCAATACCCCCACTTTGTGGGGGGGCCGGTTCAAGCTCTACCAAATTTCCAAACGACTCTTCGCCACCACCCACACCCAGCTTCCCGCCCTATGACGTTCGGACACTTCACTTCGTGGCATGCGGACGACCGTGGCTACTATTCAGGGCCCCGCGGCCGACGACGACGGCGTGCGCGCGCGAAGAAAAAACGAATGTGTCCCGCATGGTATTATTTGACAGGGATGATGGCCCTGGCAGGTGCGCAACCGTTGTTGCAGAAGTTCGAAAAAGTTGCTCGCAAAAGCCCGTTTGACAGAAATGTTTAAAAAGTGTTGGGTTTCCTACGAATCCGCAAGAGCGCGCGGGATGAGATTTTGACAATTTTTTGTTGAAAAACCATTGGTTTTTTGATGTTTTTATGTTAAAATCGCTGCGAACACTAAGGTTTTGGAAGGATTTCGTCTTGCGCGCGCGAATGTCCACTTTACCTTATTTTTTGCAAGGGATTCTTGAAATTTGATTATATTAGAACAAGAAATGTCATTTTCTATTGTTTTTTGCAAGGGAAAGCGGATTACAACAAAACAACCGGATCCTGTACACACCCTCTTTTCTGAGGCTTCCTCACGAAAATGATGAAAATGTAGCTGCGGCCTAGGCGGCGCAGGGGGGGCGCGCACCAGGGGGCCCAACAATAATTATTCTTTAGAATAAATAATGTTCAACAACAACAACAACAACAACAACAACAACAACAACAACAATCACTTTACCCGAACGCTCAGTGTTCTCACCAGTGCCAGGGTTTTCATGCGACGCCAGCCAATACCCCCACTTTGTGGGGGGGCAGTGCAAGCTCTACCAAATATCCACACGACTCTTCGCCACCACCCACACCCAGCTTCCCGCCCTATGACGTTCGGACACTTCACTTCGTGGCCTGCGGACGACCGTGGCTACTACACTGGCGTGGAGTACACACCCACAGAAGTTGTTAAGCCTACGTTCGTACACCCACAGAAGTTGTTAAGCCTTGTTAGCCCACAGAAGTTGTTAAGCCTTCCACAGAACATCTGTTGCATATGATGCATATGGTACATGATACACATGATACACATGATACGTACTCACAAGATAGTCGATCACATCTTTAGGGCAAATTCCTGAGGGATGTGAGAATACACAAGAGAGAGAGGATATGGTTGTCCCGATGGTTGTCTCGATGGTTGTCCCGATGGTTGTCCTGATGGTTGTGGTTGTCCCGATCGTTGTCCCGATGATTGTCCCGATGGTTGTCCTGATGGTTGTGCTTGTCCCGATCGTTGTCCCGATGACTGTCCCGATGATTGTCCCGATGGTTGTCCCGATGGTTGTTCCGATGGTTGTCCCGATGGTTGTCCCGATGGTTGTGAGCGATGCCGGATCCTCACGCCCCCCGCCGGAGGAGGAGGAGGAGGAGGAGCAGGACAAGGAGGAAAGGAGAGAAGAGTTGTGGCCCGCATGGTATTATTTGACAGGGATGATGGCCCTGGCAGGTGCGCAACCGTTGTCGCAGAAGTTCGAAAAAGTTGCTCGCAAAAGCCCGTTTGACAGAAATGTTTAAAAAGTGTTGGGTTTCCTACGAATCCGCAAGAGCGCGCGGGATGAGATTTTGACAATTTTTTTGTTGAAAAACCATTGGTTTTTTGATGTTTTTATGTTAAAATCGCTGCGAACACTAAGGTTTTGGAAGGATTTCGTCTTGCGCGCGCGAATGTCCACTTTACCTTATTTTTTGCAAGGGATTCTTGAAATTTGATTATATTAGAACAAGAAATGTCATTTTCTATTGTTTTTTGCAAGGGAAAGCGGATTACAACAAAACAACCGGATCCTGTACACACCCTCTTTTCTGAGGCTTCCTCACGAAAATGATGAAAATGTAGCTGCGGCCTAGGCGGCGCAGGGGGGGCGCGCACCAGGGGGCCCAACAATAATTATTCTTTAGAATAAATAATGTTCAACAACAACAACAACAACAACAACAACAACAACAACAACAACAACAACAACAACAACAATTACTAGCACGTGGGGACACTCCGTTCTCACCAGTGCCAGGGTTTTCATAGGAGGCGGGCAATACCCCCACTTTGTGGGGGGGCCGGTTCAAGCTCTACCAAATTTCCAAACGACTCTTCGCCACCACCCACACCCAGCTTCCCGCCCTATGACGTTCGGACACTTCACTTCGTGGCATGCGGACGACCGTGGCTACTATTCAGGGCCCCGCGGCCGACGACGACGGCGTGCGCGCGCGAAGAAAAAACGAATGTGTCCCGCATGGTATTATTTGACAGGGATGATGGCCCTGGCAGGTGCGCAACCGTTGTTGCAGAAGTTCGAAAAAGTTGCTCGCAAAAGCCCGTTTGACAGAAATGTTTAAAAAGTGTTGGGTTCCCTACGAATCCGCAAGAGCGCGCGGGATGAAATTTTGACCTTTTTTATATTATATATATATATGTGTTTTTTGATGTTTTTATGTTAAAATCGCTACGAAAACTAAGGTTTTGGAAGGATTTCGTCTTGCGCGCGCGAATGTCCACTTTACCTTATTTTTTGCAAGGGATTCTTGAAGTTTGGTTATGTTAGAACAAGAAATGTCCACTTTAGCTTATTTTTTGCAAGGGAAAACCGATCGTAACAACACAACCGGATCCGGACTCCCCCGTTTTGCCTGAGACTTCCTCACGAAAATGATGAAAATGAGGCTGCGGCCTAGGCGCGGCGGGGGGGTCGTGCACCAGGGGTCCCAACAATAATTATTCTTAAGAAGAAATAATGTTCAACAACAACAACAACAACAACAACAACAACAACAACAACAACAACAACAACAACAACGACAACGACAACAACCACAACAACGACAACGACAACGAAAACGAAAACAACAACAACAACAAGACAACAACAACGACAACAGCAACAACAACTACAAGAACACAACAAGAAGACAGGCGTGCGCCCGACCAGATCCTGTGGCACTGCAATATTGTAGTCTATCGTTACCCCAGCGGTGTGCCCAGCAAGCGCCCGCGCCCGAGCATCTTATACATATGTGAAAAAAACAACAACAACAACAACAACAACAACAACAACAACAACAACAGCAACAACAGCAACAACAACAACAGCAACAGCAACAGCAACAGCAACAGCAACAACAACGACAGTAACAACGCAACAAGCAGGATTCTCACCACGAAGTCCTTATTCAGCCACGCACGCAGGGACAATGAATGACCGTTCGGCCCCCTCACTCTGACACATGTGCACGTGCAAACTCACATGCCGTGCACGTGCACATGCACATTTTCCTCGTAAACGTCTAGGGCGCTTCTGCCCCGCTTCCATTTGGTATTCCTGTTGGCTCGGCGAGCGGTTTTGAAACCGAGCACGGATCCTGACAAAAAAAGGCGTCAAAATGCGTCCCTCTCACGGCAACCTTTAGTCAAAGGCGAAAGATTGGTATGCGCTGAAATGAATGCTGTGATGGAGTGAAATGAACGACAAAAAAGGCGTCAAAATGGAGTAGAACTGGAAATGGTGTTGTGACAAGGCGAACGGGCAGGTTTTGAATGAATGCAGAAGCGCACAGAGGATCCCGGAGCCGGGCGAGACGTGAGGTCGGACGTGGCGAAGACGTCTTGAAAACGGGGGCAAAACACTGCATGAAAAAAAAGCGCAGCTCACAGACATGAAGAAGCTTGAAAAAACGTAAACGCGGGGAGGTAGGCAGTCAACCTGTATAGGAAGGATGCGCGATAAGGATGCAAGGGCCTTGGAAACTCATGTCGAAGTTTTCCGAGCGGGGCGCGGTCAACGAAAGTGGCCAAGGATGGACCGAGGAGGCAAGGATGCAAGGGTACCCTTGGGAAGGTTGCCCATCCTTACTATGCGGGTTGACTGCAACTCATGAAAACAAAGTTTTTTGAGGACACGGAATCAATGGAGCGAGCCTAGAACTGCACTGCGTTTTCAGATCAACAAGAAACGAGCCCGAGACCGAAATGCACGCTGAAGGCAGAAGCAGGGCGGACGTCCTCGACATGTCCAGAGAGGGCTATACGTGCGTGGCGTGCGCCAACGTGAGTGGCGTGCGCACGAACATCGATCAAAACGTCTGACATGTGGACATACGTGTGCGCGTACATTACCGCGCACATGCCGTTACACGCACATCTACACCACAAAGAGTTCGCACGCACACTTGTGGGCCTACGGCCACACGCAGTAAAGGCATATACGAGCACAGAGGTCAGCACATGACGCCTCCCGCTGCAGGTACGTCGCAAAGTCCGCGAGGATCTTCCCATCTAAGAACAGGCTCTCCTCTTGACCACGCCGAACGACGCTCAAGTCTGTCCACGCTTCCCTTGCCAAATTTCCATCGCGACTACTGCCTGTCCAGCGGTAGCATCAGCCTGCCCCGCGTCCTCCTCGTGCCTATTGCTACCAGACCTTCCACTGCGGGGCTTCGAGACACAACGGGCGCCAGAAAAAACGAAGCTGCACAAAACGAATACTGATGCTAAGCGAACGCGAAGCGCGCACACAAGTAACTATAAGGCCACTGAGTAAGGACCTGCAGATCCTTCGAGGGCTGGAGGGGGCCAACGGGTATCAAGAGATGTTTCCAATGCAGCGCACAACAGCCGCTGCATCGGCCACGCGCCTGGAACATACAAGAGTCAACTACAGTTAGGTTGGGCGTGTCCTCCTACAGGGGGATTTTGAACGAAAAAATAAGAAGTAGTCAAAAATGCCCATAAATATTCAAACAATGATCCCCATATTATTTTTTATTATTTTGAAAATTCCCCCTGTAGAGGGACAGGTCCGACTTAAAACTACAGGTGTCAAAGGCTGGAAGCTTGACGAAAATCACCCAACTGCTCGGCAAGACACAAGACGAGTACATACGAGGCGATCCTTGACAACAGTCAGAACAATACCAGGGCTAACACATGTGAACGGTACCACTGCAGGTCAGATACGCCGGCCAGGGTTCAGAAGTCAGAGGATCTCTGCGTGAGGTTCGCAGGTGGTCGCAGAGTATCGGGCACGTCCTGCCTGAGCGCTGTTTCGCGCGGTGCGAGCCGCACGGGCAGCGGAGGAGGACGCATTCGGAGCGAAGCCTGCCACCGTGCCTCCGGCGCGTGGTGGAATACGGCAGGTTCGTGTCGTGCCGGCTTCGGCGCCGGTTTCGGACAACGCGGGGGTCGTTCGACCTTGAACGACCGGCCGTTTCCGAAGCGGCAGATCCTTGGACATCGACCTGTTCGGGGTCGCCGTCGGCGCTCAGCGTTGAGCGCAGGCGGCGTGGTCGCCGCCAGCCGACACGACACGAGCATACGGCCCTCTGTTCCCCGCATCACACGCATACTGAAGGGCCACGGAAGCGACAGTCAGAGCGCCTGCACCAGCTCCCTGGGAACTGACGAGCTCTTGCTGGATCCGTATCTCCTCGGCGTCGCTGCTGCGTCGTCCTTTCGTCGTCGCTCGCCCCTGCCGCGGACCTCCTGCTCTTGAGGGTGTCCGCGGGCACCGCCGGAGAGCCTCGCTCCGGGCGGGGCTAGAACGAGAATCGATCCGTTACAGAACTCTCCGAAACGCTATGAGAAAGCCGCGGCGCCCGATGCATCGTCCAGAGCCGCCAGATCTCAGAGATTCCGATTTACCCTCCCCCCCAATGTATCGTCCTGGCTTCGTCTTGCCACTCTGGCCCTTCCTGGGGCCCCAAGGACCGTTGCTGGGAGTCGAGGACTCCAGCACGTCCCGGGGTGGCCTCAGCGCTGGAGCGGCGCCAGGAGGGCGAGGCCTAGGGGACAAGGAGGGAGAAGGGACTAGGGGACGAGGGGACGAGGCGACGAGGAGGGGACTAGGAGACGAGGGGACCAGAGGACTAGGGGACGAGGGGACGAGAAGGGGGGGCGAAGAGGGAAAGAGGATCGTCGGTGCGCCAAGGGGAAGGGAAGCCAGAGGGGGGCCCGCCTTATCAAAAGGCAGCGAGGCTTCTCGAAGGCCCGTCGCCTTCTGAAGAGGCCGCCTGCGGCTTCGGGGGACGCTTGGAAGGCGTCTGAGAGGGCGGGAGGGCTTCTGAGAAGCCCCGCAGCCTTCTGGCAAGGCGGGACCCCTGCCTTTCCCGCTGGGCGGGACGAGAGGAGGGGAGGGAGACGATCGGAATAAGGGAGGAAGGGGAACCACCCGGAGGATGAGAGGGGCCGAGGTGGCGGAGAAGGTAGGCGGGGGAGGAGGGAAGGGAACGCCTCGAGCCCCCTGGAGCGCGCTGTGCAGAACCCCATCCGCACCCCCAGAGCAAGGTCCTCCACGAGCCGGGATGGAACCATCCGCTTCCAGCGGTCGGTCGCCCTCGGCCAGCGGGTCAATTCCACACCAGGTCTCCTGGCTCGCGGGCGCGCCCCGTGCGCACGCGCCCTCGTCGTCGCTCCGCGCGAGACCATCACTCGAAAAGCCTCACGAGAAGCGCACCCGTCCCGCTGTCATCCCCGAGGAGGGCCTCCTCCGCTAAACGAGCGAGTTCCACCACTCGCAAAGTAACTACTCGCAAATGGCCTGGATCCCCCGCGGAAGACCTACGATAAATTACATCAAAGCGGACATGTGTTTTCGAGACGTTTGCGAGCAGGCACCTTTGCGAGCAGTGGAACGCGCTCGGTGATCGACCGTCCCCCCCCCCCCGGGAGGCGAACGCCGGAGTCATGAGCGCTCCGCGAGGGAGCCAGGCCTTGCCCACGAGGGCACGGGCGTGGGGGTCAGTCGTGGCCTCGGAGCTCAGACGTGGGCACGCGATCCCTGACGCGCTGCTCTGCGGCGCAACAAGAGGACATGTTAGCACGGCGTGCCCTCCTGAGGCGTGCGCCCGACCAGATCCTGTGGCACTGCAATATTGTAGTCTATCGTTACCCCAGCGGTGTGGCCAGCAAGCGCCGGCGACCGAGCATCTCATACATATGTAACAACCACAACAACAACAACAACAACAACAACAACAACAATCATTTAAGACTGGGGACACTCCGTTCTCACCAGTGCCAGGGTTTTCATAGGAGGCGGGCAATACCCCCACTTTGTGGGGGGGCCGGTTCAAGCTCTACCAAATTTCCAAACGACTCTTCGCCACCACCCACACCCAGCTTCCCGCCCTATGACGTTCGGACACTTCACTTCGTGGCATGCGGACGACCGTGGCTACTATTCAGGGCCCCGCGGCCGACGACGACGGCGTGCGCGCGCGAAGAAAAAACGAATGTGTCCCGCATGGTATTATTTGACAGGGATGATGGCCCTGGCAGGTGCGCAACCGTTGTCGCAGAAGTTCGAAAAAGTTGCTCGCAAAAGCCCGTTTGACAGAAATGTTTAAAAAGTGTTGGGTTTCCTACGAATCCGCAAGAGCGCGCGGGATGAGATTTTGACATTTTTTTGTTGAAAAACCATTGGTTTTTTGATGTTTTTATGTTAAAATCGCTCCGAACACTAAGCTTTTGGAAGGATTTCGTCTTGCGCGCGCGAATGTCCACTTTACCTTATTTTTTGCAAGGGATTCTTGAAATTTGATTATATTAGAACAAGAAATGTCATTTTATAGTGTTTTTTGCAAGGGAAAGCGGGGGGGAACAAAACAACCGGATCTTGATCACATCGAATTACCTGAGGCTTCCTCACGAAAATGATGAAAATGTAGCTGCGGCCTAGGCGGCGCAGGGGGGCCGTGCACCAGGGGTCCCAACAATAATTATTCTTTAGAATTAATAATGTTCAACAACAACAACAACAACAACAACAACAACAACAACAACAACAACAACAACAACAACAACAACAACAACAACAACAACAACAACAACAACAACAACAACAACAACAACAACAACAAAAAGGCTGTACGCTCTTACTTGCCCGCGAGTCATTCAACACGTATACCCTACACCCTCGATACCCGCCCTCTTCGTCTTCGATCACACCCCTTTCGGGGGGATTATTTCTCTTTGCTGGGGCCGGCGGGCTTAGACGTACGGGCAAACCGGAACGGGCGGACAATCCTTCGGGGGCGTACATCTCTCTGCCCGCCATTGGAATTGGCGCGGGCCCTGCAAGAGGAGGAGGGGAAGAACGAGGGAGAGTGGGAGGAAGGGGAGGGGGAAGGACGAAGGAAGAGGGAAGATACCACGTTGTGAAGGCGTCCTTGGCGCGCGCGTGGTTCCTGAGCGCCGAAACGCAATTCCAGAATAATTTGTGAGGACGTCGCACGCGAGAGCGCAGTCCTGAGTACATTGTGAGGAAATCTCAGGCGGAAGCGGGGGCCCTGACTAAGTTGCGAGGAAGTCTCAAGCGGGAGCGCCGTTCCTGAGCAAATTGCACGGAAGTCTCAGGCGGGAGCGGGGGTCCTCACTAAATTGCGAGGAAGTCTCAGGCGGGAGCGCCGTTCCTGAGTCAATTGCGCGGAAATGTCAGGCAGGAGCGGGGGTCCCGAGTAAAATTCGAAGAAGTCTCAGGCGGGAGCGCCGTTCCCACGTAAATTGCACGGAAGTCTCAGGCGGGAGCGGGGGTCTTGATTACATTGCGAGGAAGTCTCAGACGGGAGCGCCTTTCCTGAGTAAATTGCGCGGAAGTCTCAGGCGGGAGCGGGGGTCCTGAGTAAAAATCGATGAAGTCTCAAGCGGGAGCCGTTGTTGTTGTAGCCCGGGGGGCAGGGGCATAGTTTGAGCAGGAAAGACTTTCCTTGAGAAAAAAACAAGGTGCGAGCCCCGGGGGTGGCACTTCAATCGAAAAAATCAATGTGCACCGGTGGGGGGGATCAACAATGATTATTCTTCAAGAGTGAGAGCTCAACAACAACAACAACAACAACAACAACAACAACAACAACAACAACAACAACAACAACAACAACAACAACAATCATCTTACCCTCATGCGCCATGCTTCCACATGACACATGCATCCATCTGGATAACACACCCCATCATGTGGGATTTTTCTGGCATGCGGGATCCGATATTCCCTCACCCAGATATCCCGCCCAAGAAGGTTTGGCCACCACCTCTTCCGAGGAACTTCAACATCCATAGCTCGGACGGCACATCGCCTTCGCAATCGCCTTGCGCATGCCCCGCATCTCAGAAGGAGAGGAAGAGGAAGAGGAGGGGGAGATGAGAGAGATAGGGAGGGGGAGGAGGAGAAGGGAGGGGGAGGAGGGGGAGGAAGGATGAGTAGTTGTAGTAGCAGCAGTTGATGATATTGTTGTTGCGGCTGTAGCACTAGTAGTAGTGGTAACGGTAGTAGTAGTCCAAGTAAGTAGAACTGGCTTGTGGCAGCCAAGCGTTCATAGCGACGTTGCTTTTTGATCCTCCTTTAATGTCTTCTCTCCCTAACCTTGAGACGCAGAAGTCTCAAAAAGTTGGATGGTTCAGCACATCCAGGAAACCTATCGCTGGACCGGCCCAGATATGGTTCCAGAAGCGGCTCGGGAAGCTGCGCAGGCGCCAGAAGCAGAGAAGCACCACGTACGGGCGCCGGCTCGGGCGTCCGGCCCAAAGCCGCTCCAGAATCGGCCCAGGACGGCTTCCCGGGCGCCGCAAGCAGAAATTCAGCATTTTCGAAAGAAAAATGTGTATTGGAATGGCCTCTTTTCGGCGCGATCGGAACTGCCCGGGCGTCCGGCCCGGGAGCCGGGCCGGGTGCCGGCCGGGCCGGGTGCCGGCCCGAGCTCCGGAATCGGCCCGGACGGCCTCCCGGGCGCCGGAAGCAGAAATTCAGCATTTTCGAAAGAAAAATGTGTATTGGAATGGCCTTTTTTCGGCGCCGCCTCGGAACTCGATTTTCCGGCGCCCGGGCGCCGGCTCGGGCGCCGACCCGGGCGTCCGGCCCGGGAGCCGGGCCGGGTGCCGGCCCGAGCTCCGGAATCGGCCCGGACGGCCTTCCCGGGCGCCGGAAGCAGAAATTCAGCATTTTCGAAAGAAAAATGTGTATTGGAATGGCCTTTTTTCGGCGCCGCCTCGGAACTCGATTTTCCGGCGCCCGGGCGCCGGCTCGGGCGCCGACCCGGGCGTCCGGCCCGGGAGCCGGGCCGGGTGCCGGCCCAGGCTCCGGAATCGGCCCGGACGGCCTCCCGGGCGCCGGAAGCAGAAATTCAGCATTTTCGAAAGAAAAATGTGTATTGAAATGGCCTTTTTTCGGCGCCGCCTCGAAACTCGATTTTCTGGCGCCCGGGCGCCGGCTCGGGCGCCGACCCGGGCGTCCGGCCCGGGAGCCGGGCCGGGTGCCGGCCCGAGCTCCGGAATCGGCCCGGACGGCCTCCCCCGGGCGCCGGAAGCAGAAATTCAGCATTTTCGAAAGAAAAATGTGTATTGGAATGGCCTTTTTTCGGCGCCGCCTCGGAACTCGATTTTCCGGCGCCCGGGCGCCGGCTCGGGCGCCGACCCGGGCGTCCGGCCCGGGAGCCGCTCTCGGCGGCGAGCAAGAGCACCGAGCCCGAGTAAAAAAGGAGGAAGTCTCGAGCCGGAGCGTTGTTGTTGTTGGGGGGCCGGTTTTGGCGGAACCCCAAAACGCCTGAGCGTGAGCCTCAATTTCAGAGGAAATGCGGCCGGCGCCTCGGCGAGAGCGCCAGGGCGAATATAGGGGGTCCAACAATAATAATTGTTTAGTAATTAAGGTTCAACAACAACAACAACAACAACAACAACAACAACAACAACAACAACAACAACAACAACAACAACAACAACAACAATCACTTTACCCGAACGCTCAGTGTTCTCACCAGTGCCAGGGTTTTCATGCGACGCCAGCCAATACCCCCACTTTGTGGGGGGGCAGTGCAAGCTCTACCAAATATCCACACGACTCTTCGCCACCACCCACACCCAGCTTCCCGCCCTATGACGTTCGGACACTTCACTTCGTGGCCTGCGGACGACCGTGGCTACTACACTGGCGTGGAGTACACACCCACAGAAGTTGTTAAGCCTACGTTCGTACACCCACAGAAGTTGTTAAGCCTTGTTAACCCACAGAAGTTGTTAAGCCTTCCACAGAACATCTGTTGCATATGATGCATATGGTACATGATACACATGATACACATGATACGTACTCACAAGATAGTTGATCACATCTTTAGGGCAAATTCCTGAGGGATGTGGGAATACACAAGAGAGAGAGGATATGGTTGTCCCGATGGTTGTCTCGATGGTTGTCCCGATGGTTGTCCTGATGGCGCAACCAGTAGGGGGACGTTTTATTCTCGGCGGCCGAGGGCGCAACCTATGGCGCAACCAATAGGGGACGTTTTATTCTCGGCGGCCGAGGGCGCAACCTATGGCGCAACCGCAAGGGATTGTGGCCCCTGGCAGGCGCGCGAACCCCGTTGCAAGAGCGTGCGA